GCTGCTGCACGGCCCCCTGCAGGCATGGCCCCGCCGGAGGAGAGTTTCCTGGGAGAGATGCCCAGTGCCCTGGGAACTTGAGTTCGGAGCATCTTTTTACCCTTCCCTGCCCAGCTCGGGTGCCAGCTGGTGGGGGCATCCCTGGCCCTGCTGGGATTGTTATTAGGGGGTAGGCCCTGGCTGGAAGGGGGTGGTTAGCAGAGGGTCTGTCTGGTCCTGGCTGGGGGTCATTGCAGGGGGGCTAGTCCTCACTGGGGTGTGTTGGGTGGAGGGTTGTTGGAAGGCCTGTGGCTGTCCTGGCCCTGGCGGGGAGTGCGGGGGGCTGGCTGGACCCTGGCTGGGGCAGGGAGCTGTTGGGGAAGGGGCTGGCCGGACCCTGGCTGGGAGGTGTGGGGGAGGGCAGGGGGGCTGGCCTGACCCTGGCTGGGAGTTGGGGTGTGTGGGGGGTGGGGGCTGGCCTGACCCTGGCTGGGGGGCGCTGGGCTGACAGGCTCTCTCCCTACCCTGCAGATCGAGGAGATCTTTAAGAAGGCCGGCCACCCCTTCATGTGGAACGAGCACCTGGGCTACGTTCTGACCTGCCCCTCCAATCTGGGCACCGGCCTGCGGGGCGGGGTCCATGTCAAGCTCCCCCACCTCAGCAAGCACCCCAAGTTTGAGGAGACCCTCAAGAGGCTGCGGCTGCAGAAGCGCGGCACAGGTGAGGGGCGGGGGCCACAAGTGGGTGTAGGGTGGGGCTGGGGTATGGGGGGCAGGGCTGGAGACACAAGTAGGTGTGGGTTTACCGGGGGCTCGGGTTCTAGGGAGTATAGATGGGGCTACAGGTGTGTGTGGGTAGGGCTGGGGTTACAGATGAGGGTGGGGGGCATAGGGTTGGGGGAGGATGGGGGCACAGAGTTGGGGCAGGGGACACAGGTGTGGGGAGCAGGGGTAGGGCTGGGGTTACAGGTGGGGAGAGGGCAGGGCTGAGCCCAGCAGGGGCTGTGTGTGACTGCGGTGGGGCCCTGCCCATCCCCCAGGCAGAGCCGTGTCCCGCTACCCTCAGCCCCTGGGGTGCCCTCAAGCCGGTGTGCTGCGCTGAGGGGCGTCTGAGAGGCTCTGGGTGAGACCTGGAGCGCGCAGCCTGGACGCCAGGAGTGGGGGGCAACCAGGCAGCTGTGACCGGGGGTGGGGGGCAGGAAATACGCTGGGCCATGGCTGCTGCATGGGGTCTCCAGGGGCCTGGCAGCTGCGGGCAGAGAGGCCAGGCTAGCGCGGTGGGGCCAGGAGGCTGGTGGGGCCGCTCCGCTGCAGTGGGGTCTGGGCTCAGCTGCATGGCGCTGTGCCCCCCCAGGTGGCGTGGACACCGAGGCCGTAGGTGCCGTGTTCGACATCTCCAACGCCGACCGGCTGGGCTTCTCCGAGGTGGAGCAGGTGCAGATGGTGGTGGACGGCGTCAAGCTCATGGTGGAGATGGAGAAGAAGCTGGAAAAGGGCCAGGCCATCGACGACATGGTCCCAGCCCAGAAGTAGGCGCCTGCCCCCCGCCAGCGGGCACGTGTGACCTAATAAAGTAACAGTGGCCACCTGGCAGCCTGGTCTGTGTCCATGGGGGTCCGGGCGGGAGCGCAGGTGGGGAGAACAGCCCATAATTCCAGGCGGTCTGGCGGGCAGCACGTCCCAGTGCCAGCCATGGGGCTCCGGGGCAAGGGGCTGTCATACTCCTCTCCCCCTCCAGCTCTTGTGCTCTGGGGAAGGTTGGGCAGGAACCGCCTCCCCAACTCCCAGGTGCGTGGGTGCTGGGCCAAGTCCCTGGCTGTGGAGGGCCCTGAGCTTGGAGGGGGTCCCACGCCTGACAGGGGCAGGCCACACATCCGCCAGCTGCTCTGCTCGGCTGGGGGGTCACTGAGCACCCAGGGCTGGAGCCCCCCTGCTGTGCACTGGCCTCAAGCTGTTTGCCCCCCATGGGCATCTCAGCCCCCCTTATCTCCAAGTGCACCTGGGGGGCAGCTGCCAACTGTTTCCCAAGCCCCAGAGCTGAGCCGCTCCCCACTCTGCCTGGCCTCATCTGAGCTTGTGTGACAGGGGCTGTGGTCTGGGCAGGAGAGGCCAGGCCAGCCCCAGAGCTCCTGCTGCCCCCCTGGCTGTTTGCAGGGGGAGGTTTGCTCTGGGGGATGCTGCCCCCCCTGGGGCATGCAGCAAAATGCCCACCTCCACTCTGGGCATAACAGCCCCGGCCTGCCTGCATGGCTCCTTGGGAGCCTGGTGCGGTGGCTTCCCCTGGCAGTGTGCAGGGGGCAGGACACGGGCCCCATCATCTGCCTGCCCAAGGAGCCATGGGCAAAAGGCCATAGCCCCATCTGTGCTGGGGGTGTGGCTCAGTCAGGGGCAGTCCAGCCCTGGCCCTACTGCTCCAAGGAGCTGGGACCCCTTCCCACTCGGGGCCCTCTCCCCCTGGCCCTGGCAGCAGGCAGAGGACTCAGCCTAGGGCCCCTGCAAAGCTACAGTGGGTGGCAGCCTCCAGCCCTGCTCGGTGCCTGCAGCCCAGCCTGCCCTCTTCTAGGGGCTGGCCCATGGCATGAGAGTCTCAGAACCCACCTGTTTGCCCAGCAAGCACCTCCCCTGGCACTGGAGCTCAGCTTAAACCTCCTGAGAGGTACCGAGGCCCCAGGAGCAGGGTGCCAGGTTGTGGCTGTCAGCTGCCCATCATCCCCCGCCGCCGGGAAGTGGGGCTTTGAGTGAAATGCACTGAGCTGCTCCCTGGGGGGCTGGTACCGTTGGTGAATATGGGCCTAAGCCTCCAGAGAGAAATGGGGCAGCGCTGGATGTGGATGGCAGCAGCGCCTGTGCCCTCCAGCCATCCCACCCCCCTGTGAGCCCCCAGCTGTGCCCCCCTGTTCCCTGGCCCTACCAACCTTCTCATCAGATCAGATCTCACCTGTGCCTTCTGGCTCCCCGTGCCCTCCAGCCCCCCCATTTCCTGACACTCCAGCAGTGCCCTCCAGCTCCCTGGTTGCTGGAGGGGGCTCCCCTCTTGTTACTGTCTTGGACCCCGCTCTCCCGCCAGCCCAGCAGGTGGCATCATCCCCGAGGGCCGCATCGCATGGAAGCAATGGGAGGCGGGGTAGGGGGAGAGACCGGACACACAATGTGAAACAAGGTCAAACTCCTGGTGCCAGAGCAGCTGGCCAGAACTGCACTGAAGAGCCCGGCCTGCGGCTGGCATCTAAGTGCCTGGCACCAGCTGCCAATTACCCTTGAGCAAAGCAGGGTCATAATGTGTGGCAAGGGCGAGATACCCACCATCCTCATGCAGGGGTCAGTGGAACAGCCACCCACAGCACAGAACCCCCCTCCTCAGAAGGCACTACTGCTGGTGCCAACCTGTGCCTCACACCACGGCTCGCTGGGAGAGCTACCCAGGTTTCCCAGCAGCCCTGGCACCTGCACACACCGCCCTGCCCCTTGCTAGTGGAACGGAGATAGGACAGGAAGTCCCACTCCCACAGCCCATGGGACTTGCTGGGCTGAGGGCATCACCATAACATCCCAGTGCAGACAGTGCCTGTGGCGGGCGGGGCCTTGAAATCACCTACACATTAAATACAAACCCCTCTGTCCCAGCAGCGAAATACTCTGCACTCTGCCCCATGCACACGGCCCACTCTCTTGGAGGGGTGGAGCAGGTCTCAGGACGCCTGGGTTCGACCCCAGGGCAGCCTCCCCCAACACAGGTTTGTTTGCAAAGCACCCTGTGCTCCCAGGGTGGAGACGGAGGAAGGCCTGCGCTGTGGCAGTGCCAGGATAGACGGGCGAGACCTGTGCCCACGTGGCGGCGAAGCAGGAGCCAGACGGGGCGGAGGCTTCCTATGTTTATTGGGGGTCAATACAGACTGGCGCACAGGGCTGGAATAACTTAAAAATGTCCCAAGGCTATGGCTCGGTACTCTACACAACCCTAGGGGACTCAGGGGCTATTTACAGGGGCTGTACAAGAGGGGAGGGCCCGGCCCGGGGTAGGGGGGGAGACCCACCCAGGGCTTTCCCGGGAGCTGCCTGTTGCTTTGCTCTGCTCGTTAAAAAATGGGGCGGGGGTGTCAACAGGCCCTAGCTGGGACCCCCCACCCAGCCAGGATGCCCGCCATCTAGGGACGCCCCCCATTGCCAGAATGCCAGCCACTTAGACACACCCTCCAGCCCCATGGCCAGGACACCTGCTGCCTTGCTTACAACCTCCTTTATTCCACGCAGCCTCCAGCCCCTCCACAGCAGCCCCTGCAGGAGCAGGGCATGAGGCCAGGCTGACCCCCTCCCCCCAGCCCTGGGCACGCGTGGGCAGCTCGTGCCCATCCAAGGGAGGTGCAGCCATGCCAGGCCCCAGGTTGTACCAGCTCCGGTGAGGCCATGACCCACCTGGGGTCCAGCCTCCCCAGGGGCCGCCCGCAGGGTCCCTCTCACCCACTGGCCCTGAGCTGAGGCAGCCAAGCAGGGGGGAGGGAGGGAGGACTGGGGTCAGAGCTGCCCCCAGGGAGGGGGCACAGTCCCTCATGCTGCCCTGGGGGGGCTGCTGGGCAACAGGGGTGAGCACTGGGATAGCCATGGGCACCAGGGCACTTGCCCCATGGCTTCCAGCTCCATCACCCCTGCCCACGAGCTCAATCAACACTGTCCTACCCCCACCCAAGGGGCATCTGGGGCCCGAGTCACTGTCATGGCCTAGGCTGGGACCACCCCCGAGGACCCAGCACTTGCCCTGGCACCTGCTCCGCACTGCTGTGCCTAGAGGGGGTTCCCCCTTGTCCCTGTGCTGGGGAGACTTGTGACCTCTCGGCCACCCAGGGAGATGGGGCTCCCCTCTGGCCCAGAGCTGGAGGTGGATGAAACTGTGGGCCCGTTGGCTACACTGCTGTCTCGAGCGCCTAGCTTCTCACTCTGGCCCCACTGCATCGCCCCCAACCCAGAGCCCCCTGCTCTACCCTCAGCCCACAGTGGCCTGTCAAACCTGGAGTGCCCCCCTGTGCCCTGAGCCCCCCCAGCCCAGAGAGTCCCACCCTGCCTCTCCCAGAGGGCCCTGCCCTGCCAATGTTATCACCCCACCACCTGCCAAGGTTGGGAATGCCCCCCCTACACTGGGGCCAGTGGCTCAGTGACACCCCACAATTGGCCTGGGGAGCCCCCTCCTGCGCTAGGCTGGGCATGCCCCACTGTGTGGGGGGCAGTCCCAGGCCTGGCCCCAGCCCAGCAGAGCCAGGCCCAGCCCCTCGCCCCCGAGGGGAACAGTGCCTGGTGCCCGTGCTCTCCCTCTGAGCAGCAGGGCAGGCCCCAGGCCTAGGCCCAGCAGGGGAGAGGCCAGGTTCACAGGCCAGAGGGGTCAGGAGCATTTCCCCTACAGGCCGATCCATCCCAGGGCTGCACTGGCTCCAGGCCAGGGAGCCTGGGGGGACCCCCCACCCCCAGTGAAGACGAGCAGGCCGCTGGGCGTGGGGAGACATCCAGGGTTCTAGAGCTGCAGCTGGCTGGCAATGCTCGTCACCACGGTGCGGAAGGCCAGCGAGGTGCCAGCCAGGCGCCGGAAGAGCACGCCGGTGAGGCCAAGGCGCTGCAGCCGGCACACCTCCGCCTCGAAGTGGCAGAAGTGCTCGCTGGCGCTCTTGGCGTGCGTGCAGGACAGGAGGAAGGGCTCCAGCTGGCGGCAGCGGCAGCTGGCCGAGTCCGTGGCCTGGCGCAGGGCAGCCATCATGGCCTCGGGGGGGTGGGTGCTGGTCACCTTCACATTCCAGGTACATCGGAGCAGCCGGGGTTCTGCTTCCTTTTGATTCCAAGGTAAATTGCAACTGTGGGCGGAAGGAGCAGAGGGGGCATCAGCCGGGCGGGAAGGGGGCGGCAGGGGGCCGTGCTGGGTCCCTCGCTGGGGGGCTGGGTCCCTGCCGAGACACTGCTAGGGGTGGAGGCATGTGCTGCCAGAGCAAGGGGGCAATTGTGTGTGGAGGCCAGGTTCTGGGCAGCCCCGGCAGGGCAGGGCAGGTTCTGGGCAGCCCCAGTGGGATGGGAAGGGACAGGGTGGGACAGGGCTATCCCAGTGGGCTGGGATGGGGCGGGGCAGGATGGGATAGGGCTGCCACAGCAGGCAGGTCGGGGTGGGACAGGGCTGCCCCAGCGGGACAGGGCGGGGCGGGACAGGGCTGCCCCAGCAGGCAGGTCGGGGCGGGATAGGGCAGAGCAGCATGTACCTTGTGAGCGCAGGTCCCCCGATTCTCTCAGGTTCGTCTGCGACCCTGTGGCGGGGACAGAGCTGCAGTTAGTGGCGGAGCCGAGGCGCTGTGCTGCACTCAGAGGGGGCAACGGTGGGTGCTGGGCACGGATAGACAGGGCTGCTCCCGGCCATACCCGCAGGCGTATGCCCCCAGCCCCAGCCAGCCGCGTGAAGGTTTCCTTTAAGACTGAAGATGTCTCTGGCCTGGCGGGCTGTTGATTCCTCCATAGGGCGGCAGAGGGGGAATGACAGAGGGCATCCGAGGCTGCTTTGGATGGGGCACGCTGCCCCCCGGGTCCCTCAGCCCTCCGAATGAATCCGCATGCTGGTAGCTAGGCCATGGGCCCGTCCGGGCTCCGCTCCCAGCAGATGGGGCAAGATGGGAGCAACCAGACAGGGAGGGGCAGCATCTCTGCCACTTTGGGGGGGCCGGAGGTGGATGCTGCATCACGAACCCCTCTGAGAGCTGCGGAAGGAGACCCCCATTCCCCCCTCTTGCTCTCGGCACTAGGGCCCAGAAGGACCCAGCGTAGGCATCTCACCCCATGCAGCCGGGCATGGACACCACCAGGGGGCTCAATTCTGGGGCTGAGGGTGCAGAAAGGCCCTGCCCTGGGGGAACCTCTGTGCCCAGGTGTATGGGTCACCCCGCAGGAGCAGGTGGGGACAAGGGGCTTTTGGAGAGGACCCCAAGTAGTCTCAGATCCCCACAATGTGAGCCCTAAATGTCTGTATGGTGGCATGGGTAGGGGTCCACACTGCCCTTGGGCACAGGAGCCGCGGCCCGGCCCCGTGGATTGCAGTGCACATACAGCTCCCTGCTGTTCAGCCCGATCCCACCCCGCTCCCCGAATAGAGCTCCCGGGCACTGGGAGATCCCCCGGCTTTCAGGCTGGGGAAGTCCGCTACAGGACCTGGAATGAGAAAGAAAAGGTACAAAGAGAGAGCACGCGAGGGGGGGACAGAGCGAGGGGGGGGGGGGACAGAGCGAGGGGGGAGCGGAAGCAGCGGCACTTACTGATTTTGGCTCCTTGAGGCACAGAGGCGCCAGAGACGCACCTGTTAGAGTTCTGCCGCTTAGACGGGTCAAGAGTGACCCTGAAACAGAGAAGGCCGGAGTGAAGGGGGAGCAGAGAGCTAGAGACCAGAGGCAGGAGGTGCCCATGCCAGGCACACGGCTCACGCAAGGAAACTTGGCACCCAGACCCTGGGGCCCAGCCTGGGGGTCCCCACAGCGCCCCCTGCTGGGAGAGGCTGGCACTGGATTTGCTGGG